AATACCACCATTTGAATAGAGCTTGCCCATGTTACTCCATAGCCAAGCTTAAGATTACAAAATTCATTGTGTTTTATAAAGGTATCTCTTCAAGGCACAGGGAGCGGTGCTGATTTTCAAAATGGAACAAGAGACAAACTTCTCAATAAATTGTTAATTTTCAGAAGATGAAGTTTGGAAAAAAAACACTACAAACATGCATGCAAATACACCGCTGAATTTACTTGACAGCAGAAGTGACCAATCTAGATTAAGACTGTGCTGTCATGCATCTCAGTTTCTTCTGCCCCATTCTCTACTCTGATAAACGTACTACCTCAGGAAAACACCATTTACTTAAACAAAACAAAACATTCAAAACAGATTACTTCAGAGTTTACAGTGACATCTTCACTTTGAAGATTTCTGGAACATAGAAGTTCTCAAGAAATTCAATCCTGAGATCCAGCCATTGTACTAGACTTTAACTGGTAGCACTGGAAAAATCTAGCCAAGAAAGTAACAGCTATTTGGTTTCAAAGGTTATTTCAGGTTTACAGATACTCCCTTACCTCTTCAAAATAAAAATTATTACACTTTCCTAAGAAGTACATTTATTAAAGAAACTCTAATTCATATAGATTTAGATTAATTCTGCATTTATCTATATATAAATGGCAAAACTAAAAGCTGCTTTTATAGCTGGTTCATGTATAATAGTTACACCACTTAAGCAGCTTTGCTGCCTGTTTATAAGAACATTCCTTATTAGCCTGAAGGTATTCTAAGGCTAGATCACATGAGAAGTCATTTAGACAGTCCTCATAATTCACATGGATGAAAAAAACATATAAAAAAAAGACTATAGTTGGCTTTTTATTGCATCTAGAAAGACAACAAAATAGTCCAACGCACAGTACAATATCTGCAAAAAGAAATTTAAGCTTCATCTTTTTGTTGCTTTTCAAGGCATGAAGGAAAGACTAATTTACTCTATTCAACACCGAATGTTGTAGAAAGCAGTAGAGACAGAAAAACTGGCGAACTCAACTTGAAAGCTGAAGCTCTTAATATCAGAAATTGAGAAATCAGTCTCAACACATCTATATTGAAATTCTTGGTTGGAACTAGTCAAAGATGCTACTTCTGCAAAATGAAAGACCAAAATCCTCACTGCTCAGCCCAGGTTAAACAAGCACTTACACACTGAGGAATACTTGGAAGCATGAAACTTAAAATTATTGTTCAGATGACACTGAAATACTGTTTGTTCACAAACTGTCGCACAGAGCTCTGCAACACATATTCTTTACCAGAATTGTCCGGGGTTTGTTCTGAGTTTTGTTTTGGGGGGTTATTTTATTTTGAGGTTTTGTCTTATTGATTCTTTTTTAAAAAAATGTGATGTATGTTAATCCCTTGTTTTCTGGGCATTGAAAGTACAAGTATTTTGAGATCAACCTATCAAGTTTCTTGGGTTTTCATGGCTTCTACAGTCTCTAGTAACTGATTCCACTACGCAGACTCCATTAGAAGAGATATGCCATTAACCACACTGTTCACAATAATACTTTATATGTTTATCCAGCAGTTACAGACTCATAGAATAGTTTGGGTTGGAACAGACCTTAAAGATCATATAGTTCTAACCCCCCTAGGGGGGTTAGTTCTAACCTCCCACTAGGCCTATGCAGCCTGGCCTTGAACGCTTCCAGGGAAGGGGCATCCACAACTTCTCTGGGCAACCTGTTTCAGTGCCTCACCATCTTCTCAGAACAATAATTTCTTCCCAATATGTCATCAAAATCTACCCTCTGTCAGTTTGAAACTTTTACCCCATATCCTACCACTACACTCTGCAGAGTTCTTCCCCTTCTTGAAAGCTAGCTGCCCTAACCTTCCCAACAACATTGTTGTGTCACAAGGGTAAGTGTAACTTCTTTTCCATAACACACCATGCGTCCCTTTTAGGATCACTGAACAACAAGATAAAGCTTTCCAACAAATATTTACACGCTTTACTTCTAACATGATAGATTTACTTTTGGAACTGCCAAAAAGGATACTGGCTTTTGCTTGGCTGATGCAGTTCCAGGGATTACTGTACTGTAATTTAGCCTTAACGTTCCATCACAACAGAGACACAAGATGTGAATATGCACTGCTTACACACACTGTGCTGTAATATTCTGCACAGGTATTAGAAGTAGGTCACTTTTTCTACAGGGAGCACTTGAGAAACAAAGGTAAGAACACTAAACTTCACACATCTTTAAAGGCACTTTTGCATCTGGTTCAAAATTACATCTCACAAGGGGCAATATTTTAGGTCCTATTTAGATTAAGGCATTACAGTAAGCGCACATGTACATTCTTACTTGAAATTAGCAAGTTAAGAAGTATAATAAAACATATTATGCCAAAGAAGTTAACTTTGCTTTAGCTTTAAAGTCAGTGCTATACACCATAGAACTTGCAGAAATTACTTTACCCGCTTGAGTATTACCCATGAAAAAATACAGAATTCACAAAAAAGAGCCCTGTGAATGTTTTATCACAAGCAAGGAATGAACAGCTGCACATATATCAGTCTTTCCAATTTTACAGGCATACTAGTAGTATGTTGTGCCTTGCTTTGTCAAGCAGACTCTGGCTTTGCATGATTGCTCTAAGTGAGTGGAAAATGGATAAAAAGCACAGAGAACAGAGACCATATTCTAGAAATGCCTGCTATTTTTCCATCCTTGAAGTAAAGTGAAAAGCAACATTAACAACTGAGCTAGACGCTTAATTAACACCTTAATATTGTAACCAACTATCAAAATCTTGCTGCAATGAACTAGTTCTACCTCTTCAGAGCACTTGGACAAGATGTAGAAGTGAGGCTGGACCCCCTCACTCAGTGAGGCTAAAAACTATTGAATTTATGACACTGAAATAAAAGAACAAAAGCTCTAAGCTGGCTAAAATCACTAGAACAAAAGCTTCACTATAATATCAAGGCACTGGAGAAAAAAGAAAAAAAATAAAATAGGAGGTCTCATTCTACATGGTACCAGCTGGCATTATTTCAGTTCATTTCAAAAAAGATCTCTTGTCTTCTCAAAATATAAGACATTGTACTGCAGAACATTCAAGAAGCCACACAGTACTTTTATTCTGCAAGAACTATCTGCAACTGTGAAGATGGAAAAAGTCTTTCTTAAAAAAGCAAAATAATCCATCGGAAAGCTTTGCATTAATAAATGGGAAATTATAGTAATGCTCTGTGCAAGTTAGAAATGTATTAACTTGCAAGTCTAACATACTCAGTTTTGGAAGTTGACTCAATATAGGAAACAATTCAGGTTAAGATGAACACTGAAATACAGCTATTCAAGCGGCAAAAGTATGACACTAAAAAGCATTTGCTACAGAATCAATAAATGTTACAGCCAATGTGGAGTTTTTAGCTCTGTTTTTACAGCATCAAATATAACACTTCAGAACTATGTAACTACATTCTTTACTAGCTTGGAAAAGAAAAATCACAAGCAAAAAACTAGTACAATGGGGAGGGAACACTAATTACTTTTCTGTATGGAAAACAGAGTGAAAGTGCCACACTAAATTTAGGGGAAAAATAAACTTTATTTTAAGTCTATCATGAGCAAGTAGAACAGGAATTAAACAAGTCAATTTCTGGACTAGAAATGGAAAATTAATCATGAGTTTCCTCAGTTGAGCTAATCAAAACATTATACGTTGCTAGCTGCACCATCCTCTACACTCTTATAAGCGAACTACATATGAGCTTATACTAAAACTACCACTAGTTCAGCCAAGCATCAATAAAAGCAACAAAGAGAATAAGCACCTTGTGCAAAGTCCTATGCTTGCTGCATGACAGAAGCCTCAGGTCTTAACAGAAGATACTGAGCAAAGTAGTCAGTCACAATTAACATGTAGAGATTTGACACCCAAGAGAGTAGAATCCCAAAGCATTAAACCCCATTATGACTACAGGAAATTAAAAACATACTGCCACATTACCAGTTACAGGTCAGAAATGATTTACCCAGTAATTCCAAACTCAAACTCATAACATCTGCTTGGCTACAGCACCACTTTCAGAAAGACATCTGCTATTCACTTGGGGGACACAGGCCTTTCCAGCGATCTTCATTATCTTTCAAAAAGGGCTTTTCAATGAGTAATTAATTACAAGCAGTTTTTAATTCACCAAATACATGCTGATGCTCAGGAAACTAATTTAGACTGCCAACTCCCTTGAAAAGACCTGGAAATTGCTGAAAGTACAAACATAATCTGAAGACTTTTGTGTCTCCTGGCAGGCATAAACTAGCACCAGGTGCCCTGGCTGGCATAAACAGCAAAAACAAACCCACCATGAAGTCCTTAAAACTTTGCCAGATTTTGGAATGCCATCTGCCACTTAATCAGCTGCGATTCCTCTCTCTGCCATACAAGCAGACACACACATCAACACCCTCAGATAATTTCAACTTCTTATTCAAGTATAGTCTGCAGTGATACAGAGAACAGTTCACACTAAAAGGGTACCTATATCATGAACCTACCAGAAAAACCTGCTATACTGCACGATCCTTCTATTTACTTTTTTTTAATAGGCACAACACATGAGCTTTAATCATTACTTACCTCACTGTGGCTAAACAGCAAAAACTACATCCAAGTTTCATTGCCATTTTTTTTTTTCTTGTTACAGTTAAAATCTCCTTATGCTTCACTGGAAACAGAGCGACAGATAACACAGACTCCATTTTCTCAGAGCTGCGCAGCCACAAGTCAGTAAGTAGCAAAACCAAAACACAACACAAAAAACAAACCAAAGACTTTTCTTCCTATCCCTTGAAACTGGAATCTGTTATGGTTTATGAAATTATCTGTTGTAAAACTGTTCTTCCAAAAAATAAAAGAACCTATATGAAAAAGGTTTATACATTATATTAGTAAGTTGCATGACAGAAAATGTAAAAATGTATTCAGAAAAAACTCACCGGAAACCAAACAAGATAGGCTTGGGTGTCCATTTCTTCCAGTAGTACCTAAAATGTCCAGAAGAAGAACAACAGCAGCAACAAAAAAAAGATGAAATAATTACACTTCAAGCCAGTAAGGGGCAGCAGGCTACCTTATTTTTTGTTTAGATTCTTTCCACATAGCTCCTCAAAATTCATAATTACTGGTTTTTTTTCTTGTGATAGGTGAAAGCACATTGAATGGCAATATTCAGCCTTATAAGGTTAAATTATTTGGAAAATACAGGAGGAATTCCCAAAAAGCCAAACTTTTTTTTTTTATTATTATTATTAAAGCCATTTAACACCATTTAGTTTTACTCATTCACAGACAACTACAAATAATAAAACTCCATCATCTATACTGGTATCATAGTAATTTTTTTCCACACATATACTCCAGTAATTTTATTTGTATAAAGGAGGCATGAATTAACAGCACTCTCAGATGTGTTACCCATCAAGTTAGATGTAAATGAAAGCACTGAGAATGTTAATCTACCCTTACTCTATTGTTTGAGACTCATGCAAAAACTAAGAGTCATGCAAAAATTAAGAACGTAACTTTGAAGGATATTAATGAAACACAAGCACTCCCTTGGAATGCTAGGTCTAAGTGCAAAAGTCACATGCAGAAGTTTATAAAAGGTCTGTTGACAACACCTATCAGCCTTCTTTACTCTTTACAAAGTGTGTACTTCTACAGCAGATTTTCAACAGGAAACAATCTGCTTTGTACTGCTACTGTACGTGTCTCCCTCGCCTCAGCCATGCAAAAGGAACTTTTCTCCCAAAGTGAAAATTTTGTCTTACGAAGCTTGCCTGAGGCTTTGTATCTAGTCCTTTGAGCCACTCTAGTTCCCTTCAATTGAAAGTTAGAGATGAGATAAAACAAGCATCTGATACAGAAATGTAAAGTGGAGTAAACACAGTCAAAGCTGATCATCATGCCCTCACAAGGATCTTACTCATGATTAAATACAAATTTAGGCAATCTAGTTTAGGTTGTGCCTTGGAAGTACAGATCTCCTAAGCAGGTGATAGAACATCATTTAACAGACATTATCAAGTATTCTGAGTCCTCACAGGATGCAAATTTCAAGCAGATAGTGAACAATTTATCCTTCAATTCCCCCTCCCAATAAAACAAATACATAAGGAAACAGAAAGGCAGAGCCAGTCTCCGATACTATAAACTACAAGGAAAAAGAACAAACTCACTATCTCAATTACTCTGAAGTCACAGAGCATAGCTGCTCTTTTGCAAGACAGAGGGATTCAAGAATATAAGTGAAAAATTGACTTTAACCAACAGCTGATTACCTTGAGCCTCACTGACTTTCCTTGCCAAGTGCAGTGGCCCAGATGACTTTGGTATGCACTGGTTCAGTAAAGCAGACCTGGCCTTGCCTCCTAGAAACAGAAGCTTAGATCAGGTTTAAAAGTAGAAGTATGTCAGCAATTAAAAACTTGCCTAATATTACATATTTACTGTCAAGTGCCAGATGAATAAATCAACTCAAACACACACAAAAAGACATTTGTGGAAAATTTAAGCTATATTTAAACTTGGCTTTGCTTTATCAGAACTCACACTAGAAGAAAGAGAGTTTTTAAAAAGCTTCTAAGCAGAAAAAAGCATTAGTAAAAATTTCACTCTAGCATTAATACCAAATTACTTAGGTCTCAAAACAGTGGCAAATGTAACACAGCTACAGAAATACTGGCTGAAATGGACCTCCGGATGCCAGCTATCCAGCCTCCCACTCAAAGCAGGGCCACCACCAAGACAAGATCACTTGACCACGCTTTGTGTAGCCAAGCCTTCCAAATCTCCAGGAAGAGAGGCTCTACAGCCCCACCGGGCAACGCTGCATCTCTCACACCACAATTTGCATCACTTCCCATTGCCACATCATCTGGCACTACTGAGAAGAGTTTGGCACCATCACCTTTCAAATTACTTCAGATTGTTAAAACATCTCTTACCTTTTTTCCTGACTACACAAGCTCAACTCCCTCAAACTTTCCTCACAAGTCATGCAGTCAGTGACCCTAACTATCTTTCTAAGTCTGCAGCTGACCTTTCAAGTTTCAAAACAACTCTCTTGAACTGGGAAGGCCCCAAAACACAACGGCGTAGCCCAAGTAACACTAAGTCAAGGTAGAGAAGGCCAGCTGCTTTTGACCCAAGCACGCTTCTAGTGACCACGTCACTGAAGGTCTTGAGCAACATGTACTTGTGCTGCATGCATTGGATCCCAACAGAAAGTATCAGCTTGTCAGACAGACATATAATTTGTATTAGAAGTGATTTACAGTTTGTGGCAAATTCTGTTTCTGTTCACTGCTTATCATTTTAAAGTACATCATTATAGCGTGACATTTGGCAGGCATCTCTTCTATTTATTCTCAATTATGTCAGATACCAGCTTAAATTTTAAGTCTAAAGCAGAAGCATAATATTTAATTAGGTTTATCCAATTACAGTAAGCAGTTGACCACAAAGATGGTCAGAAGCAAGCTGATTATAACTAGGATTTAGGAGAGGGAAAGACAGCAAGCTTGTTTATCCGCTCCCATTATATCTTTAATTTTCGCCAGAGAATGAGTTGTCAACTGCTGTTTGCAGCTTGAGAAGCACTGCTGAACAATCAAGGGGTTCCAGCTTGAACAGGAATCAGAACAGTGTTTAATACAAAGCCAGAAAGTACATTTAAATTAATGTTTCTTTTAACACCAGATGATGAAGTACAATTGCCTTATCTGTGTCAAAAATCAGAGAAAACCTCTGTTTGTACTTCATCCAGTAAGACGTGTATCAAGAAAAAAAAAAGTGGCATGAGCAGCTAAGCTGGTTTTCAACTCTTCCCTTAGAAAGACAGGACACTGTCATTCATCTGCAAAAGAAGATACTTCATCTAATAGTATCTTATTGAAAAAAAAAAATCCCCGTCGCCCAGTGTCCTTTCTGCCCTGAATGGGGTGAAGACAATGCGGTCTGCATGAGAACAAGAACAACCATACGCTCAGGATAAACAGTGCAGGTGTACTCTGTAGAGCACCAGCAGCCACAGAGTCTCTGCTTGAGCTTTGTGGCAGAAAAGAACTCTTACTAAAATATCGTAAACCCCTCCATGATGACATGTGCCATGTAGCAAACTACATTTAGTCCCCGGGCCATGCTAGTCTTAGCCCTATCACAGTGAAGACGACCTCATTTGCCTGCAATACCTCAATTATGACAATACAAAGGTCATTTTAAGTCTTCCTATGAAATCTTAAAAAATTTGAAGCACCACTGATGTCACTGACTTTACTTCCTTGCACTTTTCTCCCAAGAGTCAGTTTTTAATAAACACTGCTTAGGAAGGCAGCCACCTGCAAAGGATAAGGTACGTTAACAGTAATAACTAGTTTCATTCTACCAACAAACAGACCCATATACCTTTTGTAGTCGACTTCAACGAGTGTAACCTAGGTCTTGGTACTGCTTTCAAAGGGAGAGATCCTGAAGTACCGTTCTGGCAAGCTGGTTTTGAGGGCCATTCTCCATTCTTGATGATGACCGTGGCACTTGCTGCTGCAACACAGAATGGCAAAGAATTTGCTCTAGCCTGTATCTCGTTTGGGTAAAATTAAATCCTAAAACAAGTGTGGATTATCCTAAGCTAAAGTTAGAAGAAATCAAAGTTAGAATAAAAATATTATGATCACCTCTGATATCTTTAGTACAAGCAGATGATGAACTTAAACATATCAGCCTATGGCTGTTACAAACACTTCCAGAACTAGGCATACAGCTTTGAACTACACATAAAAGAGAGATGTACATTAAAGTATACTGATCAAGATACATAACTGGAAGTCTGAGTTTGCTGTACAAAGTAAATGCAGAACACATTTCAGTTTAAGCCAAGAAAAAGCATCATTCAGTACACAAAGACATTCTGGCCACAGAATTTACTTCAAAAAAAAATTAAAACCAAATAAAACTCAGACTATTTTCTCATGCAACACCTTCCCCTGTCCTCTCTTGTTTGAGCTGAGCTGCTTCAATGACACGGTGCACGCATCACCAGCGGACCGCACACCCCTTCCATCCTCCTTGTGGGGCACTAAAAAGTGCCTGAACCCAACTGCGTTCACCAGCTACCAAACGAGTTCAGAGAAAGGTTCCTGTAGTCTCTGTTCATAGCAGCAACCTCCCCAGTGACTGCAGACCTCAGAAGACTTCCCCCTGCCCCCCAAGACAGCTGAAGTCATGCAGCAACATAGTCCCTGCAAAAAAAGGCAGACAGACAGTCCCAAACAGGGAAAGGTAGGACAATAAGCAATTGCTACCTCACATCAAAATCAGGTTTCCTACTAAAAGGGTAGTTGCTTTGTTCTGTTTGAAAAGGAACTTGCAGGAGGCTTGTGCTTTCCATCACAACAAAAATTTTTCCTTGGGAAAAAAAAAATTGGGGAAAGCATTGTTTCATTTTTTTTTCCAGAAAAAGTGCAAAATACTTCTAAATTAAGTACAGACTGAGTATGCTTTGCTTCATGTGCTAAAAAATTCTGTACACTGACACATTAGAAAGTAAAAAATTGACATTGCTTTTACCAGAGATAGCAAGAACTAAGTCACACTGGAAAAGTTTGTCACACTGTTGGTTTCTTCTCAAGTGACTTAAAGAAAAAATAAAAAAGGAGGTGTATATAACATCAGGTTTGCTTCAGACAACTCAGGCACTTCTGGTGCAGGACTAGTTAGGGCGCTGTTTTGTCCTACTGGAAGCTCTGGAGTCAGCTAACCAGGCTCCATGCAGTAAAAAAAGACAAATTTGCAAAGTTTGGTCACTATACAATTCAAAGATGGTTATTCATAGAATTAGGAGTCACTACTGCAATCTTGATGAAAGGCAAACAGGTATGAAGTGATCTCACCCCAGCTAAGATCTAGAGGGTTTAAAAACTCAAGTCATTAAAAGAATTTTAGTCAAGCATTGACTGTGTAGAAATGCAGCTCCAGATCAATTGCTAGGAGAAGCTTTTTAACTTCTGAAACACTATGTGCTTTATATGCAATTATTCTAACTCAATTCAAAACTGGATTCTTGTTCTTGACCTCACAGTTTAAACATTTCAGTATATCCAAATAACAGTATTTTTAACCCAGCACTGAAATTGAGAAGATTTCACTACAGTTAAAAATTAAATTCTTCAATACTCAAACTGACAGCTTGCATGCAAAGTATGTTTTTATTAACTGCAGCATTTCAAACTTCACAATTTCCAAACTTCTCAGATAGGAAGTCTTTTTAGAGGAAAGAATCATAGAACTGAAGTGCTCATTAGAAGTATAAAACAAACCAAAAAAATCCCCCCCAAACACACGTAATGCTGCCACAGGAAACTACCAATCAAAGAACACCCCAGAACAAAGGGCTGAGCTGACACAGCAGGAGAAATGCTCTTTTGTAAATTTTTTTTCCCCTGCTAATACAAGGCAAACTCCTTAAGCAAAACAAGACAAATGACTTTATCAATTTAATCCTGTTGACAGGACCACAATAGTTTGTCATAAATTTCACGACATCCACAGCTTAAGCCTCATTTTTTCTCACATTGTATAGTAGACTAAACAAAAGAATAAAAACCAAGAGCACTTTATTTTACGAGTACAAAGTAAATTCATCAGTTTTCCAATTTGATTTAAAGTCAAAAACTTCATTTTACTACCACATGAATTATATGTAACCTAGACTCATTGTACACACAAAACCTGACCAGACATAAATCATTCGTCAAGTGTAAGAAATTAACTAAAGAAAAATCATCTCACAGAAAATCAGCAAGTCAAAACACGGCATACATTTACCAACCTCCAAGAAACAAAATATATCCTTTAAAACCATTAGAAATAAAAAGGAATACAACCTACTTCTTCTCCCAGTAAACGTTGCTAACAAAGGAACAATACAGAAGCTGCAAGATCCCACTACCAGCAGTGTCAGTAAGGTAATATCATAGTGGCTTCCTGAGTCAGTCGGTGGTGTTAGTGTAGAATTGATGAAAATAACAGGAGAAAAATTAGTTTCGGTGCAACTGCGGAGTCCTCCTGGTATAGTCATTTAAAAAAAAAAATAAAAAAATCAAAGCAAGCTTAAAGCCAAAGAGACTGCAGCCATGTTCAACCTTTCATATTGCTCTTGCTTACTCTTCCGTGAATCGGAGTGGAAAAAATTGTAAGCTTGAAGGCAGTGGACAAAACAGATTAAACCAGCTAGCAAATCAGGCTAAATAAGGAGTCATCTGTTTGACTGCTTAATCTGAATGCACTTCTTTGTTATGAAGCGATGACCCTTTCCTTTGTTACACAAGGAAGTAACATGAAGGGAGGACAAAGCTGCTTAGGAATTCCAGATACAGTCCTAAACCTGAACAGCAAAAGTCAACATGGCTGTCACGGTAACTGAACCGACCTGATTATACAGGAACATGCACTGCATACTTTATTACACATACTCTTATTCCTTTGAGGATTATGTCACGTCTTAGTTTTTTAATGAAGACACTACAGGCGAAAAAAAAAAAGAACAAGAGAAAAATTTACTTATATAATGTATGCATGCATATGTGCATACATAAACTACAGACGTATGTTAAATCACAGCTCTCTTTTCAGTCCACTGAAGACAGATTTAAATGACATCTGGCACAAAAGAAAGGCCTTCACCCAGTCTCCAAGATATAACAGATGATGCAATAGTAACAGAATATTTGAATACAGCTAGCTGGGAATACTAACATGTCTGACAGTCAGTTGTGTGGTTTTTTCCTTCACATTTTTGCCCCTAGAACTTCCACAAATGCTAGTAACAGATCATTTATAAAGCTTCAAAATAAAAACAAGTCCTGTAATTTTTTCCCTCTAGTTTTAAATAAAAAGGATTTGGTTCAGGTCATACACCAATGCTCAGTTACCTCAGAAATTAGAAAGCCTACTCATGCAAAGTTTTACCTTCTAAAAACAGTTTCACTTACCTGCTTTCGACCTCATCTACACATTTTGTCTTAAAACTGTGAAAGCAGATACAATCTAGTTCAAAAAGAGCATTTAATATAAAAAACCTGTAACATGCTGTTCCAAATACTATGAGAGGTAATCCATTCACACCATTCATAGTTATTTCTTATTACGCCATATGTAAACAGAAGGAAACCCTTACTCATGAAGACCCGCTGGCTTTGTCACGTTTTGGGGCAGGAGCTGCATAGAAACATCTACTCATCAAACCAAAATCCAAGTCTCAAAACTCTTTCAGGTCGCATGTCTCAAGAAGAAGAGTTGTAAGAGGCAAAAAAGCGTAAGGCCTAAAACTAGTAAAATAAGTAGTACAATGAGAATTAATATATCTTTGTCCAACAGGACTCCCTTCCAGGTGATTGTTTTCAACAAGCAGTTGATGCCGGCTATCAGCTGAAACTCATAACCCTGACAGATACTTACAGTTACAGCTGAAGAGACTTCGCTCACTCTTAGTGCTGCTGACTGATGAGATGCTAGGTGTTCTCTCAAGCACTGATCTTTTGACAGGCACTTCAGATTTGGCGAACTGTTTACCAGAGCTAGCCCAGGAGCCTGGAGAATTTTTCACGGACGTATGCTTCTCTCTTGGAGAAGATCCTATGCCTGTCAATCGCAGGGGCAAGTGGGAGGGAGGAAAAAAAAAAAAAAAGAATTGGAAACATGCTTAAACAATTACTTCTTCTATATATATGCCTACAAGTAAAGATTTACACATTAAAGATATATATAAAAAGGCTTAACCTACCTCATATTGACAGGGTAAAAAATGCTGTAAATGCAGAAAAACAGTTCCAAGGATTTAATGAATTCTGTTTTACCTGCATATTGACTTCAAAACCAGAGAGCTTTACAGCTGGGCCTTCAAGGCAGACAAATGCGCAAAGTCTTTCTTGCATTCTACTACCTCCATGTATTACGGTTAGCTGAACTGGCAAACCCATAAAAACACAACCTCTGGCTCAAAAACAATCCAAGAAAGATTCTTTTGTTCATTCCCGCCCCCGAAATAGAGATTTCCCCTCCAACACCCTCATTTGACAGAGCACTCAAAAGATAATATCCTCTCAAGGACAAATACAGCACAAGAGTATTAAATTGTGCAGTACTCACATAACATACTGAAAACTCACTAGTTCTGCAGAACTAGTTAAACAGCACTCCCTGGAACAGAGTTTTTAATGGCCAACTGGTGCAGACACATTTTTGCATTAATTGCTGTTCTCATTTCAGCTTGTTGAATACAAATGCTCACTAGCTTATTAAAATAGACAGAAGATACAGCAGACAGGCGTGCCTCCTTCAGATAGAAACTTGTTCTTTTACTACTACCAAAGTGACTATACTTTCTGCAAGAAAATCTGAGTTTAGTTAAATGAAACTTTTAGTTTATTTCTGCAAAGTGTTCACCCAGATTAAAATTACAATGGCCTGAAGGAAATTATGTACACAAAGACTTGTCTTGAGAGGACTCAGCTGACTCCTATCAGCTCCGATGTCAAGTTCTTTATACAGTCCTATGAATAACTATGGAAAAGAGATTTTTGTACAAAAACAAAAAGAGAGATAGGGAAGACAGACTTTTAAAAGAAAAAATTGTTATTTATTATAACAGAAGATATTTTACAAAAATATTTTACCTTCTGATGTCATTGCTATTTCCAAGTCTGACATAGTTTTTCTTACTTGGAAAGAGCTAACTACAATTTCAGATTTGACTTAGAACAATCAAGTTTCTATTTAAAGGGAGTACCTTTCTCTTTATTCTTATCAATATAAATGGTTTTGTCTAAGCTATCTAAGAGACTGTTGAAATATGACAATACTAGCTAGCAATTCCACTTTATTCAACATCAGTTTTGCTGCTGGATCTCCACTTTTATACACCAGTGACCAAGAAATAATCAATTTGCACTAAGACCAAGAAACCATGACATTAAGAGGATTACATTAAGATTTAGGCAAGAAAAAAACTTGGGCCCAATGTCTGCTTTTCAACAGTAGGTGGTGTGACAGGATCAGAACTTGACTCACAACATCCTGTCTCAAGCATGCAAGAACAGGAACAGTACCAATAAAAGATAGGTCCCAGCTATTTCCCTCAGTTCACAAAAGAGAGTTCTCAGTAACAAAAGAGAAGCCCTACGTACAGCATACACTAAACAGGCATTATTAATACTGGTCACTGAATATAACACGTGAGCTTCAAAGAGTTATTAAGCATGCTTCACATCAGACTTTTCTTCAGAGGTGCACTTTGATTACTTGTTTGGCATTACCATGCAGAACTGTGATTCTGTATATGACTTGACTGTAGCCTGGGATTAAATCTCCAGGTCAAAATTATCAGTCATACTTTAAAATTTTTCTAAGTTACTGCAACAGACAACATTTGAATATATCCAACTTGCTAAAGAGTATCCAACCTTTGTCATCCTATGAGAACACCACAAACCACAAGCTCAAGCTTACTGAGAACCTGTGAAGCACAGCACTCCAGACAACATAGCTGAAATAATTTTTCTTTGACAATAAATAAATAAATAAATAAATAAATTCCATGACATCTGAACTTCATACAACAAATCCAACAGCTTTATAAACCTCTCCACGATGTTTTCCAAAACCTTTTTTCACTAATGGATCAACATACCAGAAATGTAATTAATCCAGACCGTCAGAAATTCCTTTTCTAAATAGCCTCTTAGCAAAACAAGGTACAAAAACCAAACAAACCTCACTCCTCAAAAAACAAACAAACATAAAAAGGTTGCTGTACAAACACCGCATGTTAAGTTTGTATGACTTAGTAAGTTAAAGCTTTACAGTTCAAAAGGCAACTAGGGGAACAAATGCAGCTTATCAGCTGCATGTTATTGTTTAAAGATAAGGGTGGGCTGCCCAACTGCTATTGTGCTGGACTCCTTCATCCAGTTCAAAAGGTACAGGAACAAAATCCTGTTTTGTTCACAGTTATTTTTACTCAAGAGGGGTTGAGGCGAGTATATGAAAACATTCAGTCTCTTTTCATGGAATCATTAAGGTTTGGAAAGACCTCTAAGATAATCTAGTCCAACCGCCAAACCAACACCACCATGACCACTAAACTGTATCCTGGAGCGGCACATATACGCGTTTTCTGAGCACCTCTGGGGATGGCAACTCCACCACTTCCCTGGGAAGCTTGTTCCAGCGCCTCACCATTCTTTTAGTAAAGACATTTTTTTCCTACAGCACATTCCCTATATATGATTTGCAACCAGCCCGGCTTCTCTGCAGATGCTGATATGCAGCAATACTCTACATCTGCTGTCAACTCAAACCCAGTCAGGGAGCACAGCAAGCTCTAGGATGTCCAGTCTCAGCAGCATGTCAAACAGACAACCCCTGCTCTTTCTGTAGTTCTTCTACTGCTTGGTGCTTTCCTATAACACTTCTATTAAAGCAATTACTGAAGCACTCAAACACATTTTTCAATAGCCCAGCTTGAGGGAGAATTTCTTGTAACTCATGACAAGATCATTAAGCAACTACTCCAGGTGTTACTTCAACTAACAACAATGGTATTACAAAGTGTTTTTATAAGTACTATTCCCCATTAAAGGAGTCACACAAAACTAAATGCAAAGGTTTTGACAGAAGCAAGAAAATACAGTGTATACACAAAAGCACTGGACAAAAGCATAAAAGCAGGGTATTCAGTGATCTATTATTGTAAAGACAACAAATAATAGCAAAGTAACAGACTTTCATCAGTTATTTAATTTAGTGGAATACTAGAAATACCACATTCCTCTACAGGGTAGTAATGAATTGGCAATTCTTTTAAAAAAGTATCTATGCAACAACCACTTCAAGTATGTTAAAGTATCTCTTGTATTGAAATGAAAATAAGCAAAGCACAAAACTCATTTTTCAAGAAGCTCTGAAGTCAGATTTCATATCCTTATTCAAATAATTATCCTCTCATATGAATCCCTCCTAAATAGCTATTGTCAAGAATAAATTAAGGCTTCCCTTAAACAGCACTGGAATCTAAAAAATTCAAATTGAGAGAATAAACATATGCCAGCAGTGATGAATTTGGGATTTTGTTGACACCAGGCAGATTGTAAAGTTGAACATGTATTCACCTAATTTGAGACTAAATGTCCACTATTTCAAATTATATCGACACATTTCACACCTAGAACTGAGCACAGAGTATCTGGCATCTACAGAGCTATTAAGACATTTGGAAATGAATGGTTGGAAGCTTTTTCCAAACATAAACTTAGGGCACACTAAGTGCAAAACACCTCTTGAGAAGGATGTTCTTAGTTGTTGTTGGTTTTGTTTAACCCTAAAACTAGCAGTAATAGTTGATTTGGCCTTTCATTGCCATAAATCTTGACTATGTTGAATTTTCAATTTAAGTCTTATGCTCTTATGATTTTTCCTGCAAGTTTAAAAATCTAGAGGACTCTAGAATAGACGTACTGAACTTGCTAGCTTTCAAAAAAATAATCTTAAGCATGATGAAAAAGCCCAATCCAAGCCTACAGCCCAAGGTCTTTACAAAGCAAGGTGAGTAAACCTTCAAGAAAACATGCTACTTTTCGGCATCTATTGAAAGGAGAAAAGAAATCATGGAAAGACAAACTGGACTTTGATACTGTTTTCTGCAGATCAATCTTAACATAGTCGTAAGAGTGTTTACGGTTGCTATTTTGAGCACTGTAAAGCAGCCGCAATACTAACCGCTTCCTGATGGCCACAAGCTCCCCAGATTGCCTGATTAGCCACTCAGCAATATTAGCTATGATATATATATATATATAAAAAAGTGATCCTTCAAGGAATAAAGAGTGGTTACAGTATGTTTCTTAACTCTCCTTAAGATCTACAGATAATCTCTTTCTAGTTATCTCTCCCTTTTAAAGACTCAAATTACTACCAATATGACCCAAGAAAAGGCAGGACTCAGTTACGCTATGGTGCAAGTAATGCCTCAGCTGCTAAACATAAACTTGGACAAGGACAAGAATGTTAAGTTACTGCTGGATCTTGAAATATTTATGAGAGAGATTTAGTAATTTAAGGGGTAACAGTTGACAGCAGCCAACAACCACCAAACCAACCCTTTATATTCCCTCAAATATTCCCACTGCCACAAGAGCAACTGGGGTGTTTTCAGCTAGAGGGATGAGAGAGGGTGAGAAAAACATTCATGTATGTCTACTGTTAAATTTTCACTTTTCCCCTTCCTATTTGGCCTCGTTTTGCAATGTGGCAGGCTTCCTTCCAGTTAACCACTTCCATAAGAGACTCCACCCTTCCTGATCTTCTCTCAGACTCAACTCTCTCTACCATCTGGAAACAACCCTTCTCCTCCCTGTTCTCAAGTCCAAATCACACCTGCTCTCCCACTTGCAGTACTGTCTACTGCATTTACTCAATTTTAGGTTTTTAATTTTGCAAGCTGAACTAGAGCTGCCCTATAGGAGAGACCATGTCCCCAGAGTTACACTGCATCTCCTACGACATCAGGCAGTTTTACACCAGCTTCCCAGTGCAGTTGCAGAGTGAGGGAGTGCCCACTCCAGCTTTATCAGGAGACACTCATA